TTTTTTTTTCGGTGTCTATGTTATATCGTTTATTTTCCGTATCCGCTTTTGCCAGCCAGTTTCACACAGTTTAAAAGTAGCTCGCGACGATTTTACTGTCCTATTTTCTATCTTTCTCTATTTCTCTTTTATCTTATCTGGTCTATCAAATTTTTATTAATGTTAACAGACGTAAGAGGAGAATGTGTGTGTGTGTGTTTGCTAAGAGTTTTTAATAATATAATTAATAGAATTAAGAGACTCTCTTTTTACATTGTTGGGTATTATTTTTCTTTACATATATTTTATTTGAAATATTAATTATTATTAGTTTCTTTGTTAAAAATAATGTTACAACTAGTCAACCATCTTATTCTTCTATCTCTCTTTCTTTCTATGGCTTCTCAAAACAATAAAAGAAAAAAAAAATCTTCCATTTTTATTTGTTTTAATTTTACATTGTATCAATATTATATTTAAAACAATTTCACCGTTGGAATAGTTTTCGTAGACGAGTTTTATATCATTTTATTTCTTTATTTGGTTTATCGAGTTTTCATTGGCCTCTTCGCCCTCTCCTTTTTCACCTCGACACACGCTCGTTGGCGGTGGTGGTGGTAGTGGTGGTATGAAACGCGAAACGGGGCGCCGGTGACCAACCACAATCCGACATCAGAGATCGTTTGAACTGAGACACCCGGTAGTGGTCGAGTGGTCGCTCACCTAGAAACCGTTCACGCGATCTCCGCTACGACAGCAACAGATCTGTTTACTACCTATCCATCCATCTATCCATCCATCCATCCATCTATCTATCTATCTATCTTTCTTTCCATTTTTCTTTATCTCTTTCTTTCTATCTATAGTTTTGTTTTTGTTTTTTTTATCTAGTAGACTCTGACCGACTTGGGTGATCCCCTGCCCACTCCTCACAACTCGACGAATCGATCACAATGATGTTTGTGTGTGTGTGTGTGTGTGTGACGACACTCAACACCAATAATAATCTATCTTTTATATTATAGCGTTTTTTATTTTTGTTGTTTTTTTTTTAATGTATTTTTATCGATGTATTGAAATTTAGATTACTCGGATGATGTTTCTATTACTTTTTTTGATTGTTTTTTGTTCTGTTAATTCTCACTTTCGTCACGTTTATTACGTCACTAAGTAATATGTTGAGGTTATGTTAACATTGGAATATACATACACAAAATCATTACGTTGTATAGATAATATAATTTATGATATATATATATATATATTTTATTAATATTAATTTTTATATATCGAATTGAGATAAATATTATTCTTATTTTAATAATCTTTTTTATTTAATATTATATATTAATACTTTTTAATAAAAATATATATAAATGATTGTAGAGCATTGAAAAGTCTTACGAATTTGAATATATTAGAATATTTAATAAAAATAATAAAAAATACTTGAAACAATGAACGAACATTAAAACAATTAATACTCCAGTATATCTATGATAATCTTTTGCAATTTTATTGAAGAAGAAAAATAAAAAAAGAAAACAAGACATTTCTATGATCGAACTTATTGAAAGGATTTTGCTATTTTTCATTAATCTTCCTTAAAAACAGAATAACAATGATAGAAAAAAAAAAAAAAAA